GAATTGACAGGTAATCCAGAGTTTGTTTGGGGAAGGCCAAATAAATACATAAAGCAAGGGGATTTAATAGATAAATATTGAGTTTTGAATTTGATTACAGTAAACAATTTGTTACCCCGAGCCCAAAAAAATAAAATTTATATTGAGCAGACCTACTTTTTATATGCCTTTGGAATGAGACACAATCGATCTTACAAATCTCATCATGGATCAAATGTTGCTTACTGTGGATAGAAAGAAACTCTCACTCTCATATGCTATGTTAGTTTCACAATTATGCAGGGACAAAGGAGTGATTGCAGATCCCATGTGGAAAATGGTGGAGCATTTGGCACTGTTAGATAAGACCTCTCTAAAGAAAAGCTATGGCATTCAACCTGAAGATCAACCACCTCCACCACAAGAGGAGTCATTCCAAGTACCAGATGAATTTTTCCCACCAGAACAACATGCACCACAAGAAGATCAACCATATATACCAATGGATGACAGGACCGATAGATAGATTTTACTAGGGTTGAAGACCACTATTACCCAGCTCAGTACCAACATCACTCAGATCAACAAACGCATGGATGATTATGAGCAGAACCAAGCAGAGATTTTGAGACTACTTCGAGAGCATTTCGGTGGAGGACTATCTACTTCTTAAACACTGGAGATTCTACAAGGGCTTTGCTATCTTTCACTCATCTTTTATTTTACGCACCTAAACTTACTTTATATTTTGAACTTGTTGTTTTTAAACTTGCTTTTGTTAGTTAATATGGAGCTTATGTTCTTAAGTTAGGGAGACTATTTCATATGACTCATAGTTAAATAAAGTTAGTATTCTAATGCTTTGCAAGGATAACCCTAATCTGATCACGTGAGATTTTCTTATTTTAGTTGTGTATTATCTTAATATTTTTGTTTAAACTTATTCTTTTGAGCACAATTAGATTTCTTTATTGGTAAAAACCTTGTGAAATATTACACTCTTTACATCTATAGTGGAGATGTAAGACCTATTGCAGATTTTGAACCAATCTTTCTTGGAGAGATATTCTACATCTACTCAAATAAGAATATTCAGTTTAGCGGTAAATTTTTTTTGAATAATCCCATTAGTTTTGTTTCGATTAGCACTTATTGGATTATATTGTTAGCATTTTCCTTTAAATTTTTATTTAGAGATTATACATGTTTATGATTTCTGGAAAATGATATTAGGCCATTTTTGATTAATCTTGAGCTTTAACCATTTCTTTTTCAAAATTATATCATTAGTTAGCCATGATTGAGCCTAATAGAATATAAATTCTTTTCATGAAACCTAAAAAATACCCGAGCCATATGAAAATATATTAAATCTACCTTTACTATCTAATTTTCTTGCACCCTCTTCTAAATCAGCAGGATACAAAAAAACATAAGAAGAAGAAAAAGTAGAAAGTGATCATTGTTTAAAGAAAAGAGAAAAATGTGAATGAAATTTCATAGGAAAAAGAAAGAAAGAAAATAACCCAGAAAGTGAAAAAATAAAATGAAAAAATAAAAGTTTTGAAAAGATAGAACGTGGTGTGCCACAATACTAAGAAATGATAGCTTTTGAATCTCATTCACGTCATTTCTTAAATCTTAAACCATTGGTCACATTACACCCATGGGAAAGTCCTTTTCAATTGCAGAAGTCATATATGTGTGTTAATCCTATCTATCCCAAAAGGGAGAATGTTGATAATATGTTTAATATAGTGTTAATATTCTTTTATGAGATTATGCCAAATTCTAGTTTTATTCAAATAATCGTTCTTTTGATTGATTCCATGTGATATTATTTGCTTTGATAACAATATTCCAATCACATGTAATTTTGAGAGAATAGTCACTATATCGTACGTATATTCTTTGCTGAGTGTATTCCAGGGAAAGATTGACATCAAGACTATCATGAAAGATGGTAATATTTCTTAAGTGATTTTTGACAATAAAGAAATCATTACACACACATACACACAAAAGTTTTTTATAAAAATATATAGATAATGTTACAACTAATGTGTGTTACTCTTATAGTGATCAGATAAAGGAACTATTCAAGCAATAAGAGGAATAGTAATTTAATTTTATTTGTGAAAAGTATGAGTTATGAACTCTTAACTACTAAAGTTTGTAGGTAGCTTCACTAAAAACCTTCACGAAACAAAACTCGTCCACTAGAGATCACCTAGGGGTTTAACGGCTTGTTGCATATACTAAATGCAATCGTGAAAAAATCTACGAAAATGACTTTACTTGTTTGTATTTTATAATTTACTAGGGACTAGTAAAGTTTAAGTTGGAGAGTGTGATTAACCCTAATTGATATATAAATTAATATAATTAAATAATTTAATTATGTAAGATAAAAGAATTAAAAGCTGTAAATTAGGTTTTATGCGTAGACTAGGGTTTTTATGTATACTGTTTAAAATTTCAAAGTTTTTGTGCGGAATTACTGAAAATCAGGAGAAGTAATTTATCAAAGCTTGAAATAACAAAGGAGACAAGTGTAATTCAAACAATGGAACATGCAAGAATATCGTGGAACCTCCACCAGCAAAGGAGCACCGTCCGGATGGTGGTTCCAAGCGGTTTGAACTTATCCTCCACCTCCTGCTTGATTTTTGCCTATAAATATGTGACCATCCTTCATCTAAAGAAGCTGGTTGGAAGGGGAGCTCTAGAGGAAGTTCAAAAGAGAGAAAAAAGGAAGAAAAAGAGAGAAAGTCGTAGAACAATTCAAGATCCGGTCCGTCCTACTATCTAGCCAAAATTCTGTATTTCTACATTTCTGTTATGTCTTTCTACTTGAAAAGTTGAACTGCTGCCACCTTTGTGTCTTAACTGAAATTAAGAATGGTTTTATTTCAATTGTTCCTCGCGAAAGAAGTGTTAGTGTCTGTATTTTATTTACTCTTGTAATAAGACTTGCTTGTTTATAGCAATAGAGCATGAATAGTTTACTTATACCCTTTAGTGAGGGGTGAACATATGAATGACTAGGCCTTCTGATGCACTAAGGATGTTTTATTATCGCATGATACAATTGTCAGATGAATAACCTAAGTGATCTTTCTAAATGGCTTGACCTTCTGGATTACTGAGGTTGTTTAACTGATATAAGATATAAAAGTTGTCAGATGAATGACCTAAGTAATCCTCCTGAATGACTTGACCTTCTAGATTACTGAGGTTGTTTAATTGATATAAGATATAAAAATTGTTAGATGAATAACCTAAATGATCGTCCTAAATGACTTGACCTTCTAGATTATTAGGGTTATTTAACTGATACATACTATAATATTGCCAATTGAGTAATTCCAGTGATCCTCATGAATGACTTGACCTTATGGCATACTTGGATTAGTAAATTATCACGTATATCACCAACTAACCTAAGAAGTTGCTATGTTATGGTTTAATATAAGTATACCACCAGCTAACCTAAGAAGTTGATGTGTTATGGTTTAATATAAGTGTACAACCAACTAACCTAAAAAGTTGTTGTGTTATAGTTTAATATACATCAAACCTACCAGTTGACTTTTCAAGTGACAAAAAAAGTTAACTTTGGTTAGGTGGCATTTCCAGTATTTAACTAATATAAAGTATATGAGATCCTTAATTTGAAGGGTACTTTTCATATTATTGTCTTTTAAAAATCTATCTACACATTTCATTTACTTAGACTAGTACTACAAGAAAATATATTTTTTGTGACGGTGAAAGACTGCTGCAAAAAAGTATATTTTCTGTCACAAATACTTTTTGCGGCGGCATTTAGTAGCCACAATAGGCAGTGCCGCAAAAAGTATTTGAGGCGGCATTACACCGTCGCAAAAAAAACATTAGTGGCAGAAATTTTCTGACCCAAACAATGGTGCCATAATTTTGCATAATATTTGTGACAGAGACTTTGCCATCACAAATGTTATGTATTTGTTGACAAAATACAATTATGATAGCAACAATGCCGCCACAAAAAAAATGCCAATTTTTAAATTTTTTTTTTATTATCAATATCTACCTTGTATATACAAATACATCACTCAAATCAAAAAAACTTATCATAGTCAAATAATTCCACATACAATTCCATTCATTTATAAATCTAAACCCCAAGTAAAAATATGTTCATATATATACATAAACAAATCATCAATTAGACAAAACAGTTTAAAATCTATCAAGTATAATGTTAATTCCCCAAGTACACATAAAAAAGATAAAATTAAAACAAAATATTCAATGTTGTATCCACACATGCTTATAATAAAAATGTAAAAAAAAATCCTAAGGTCTTCTATAACTCTTCTGCAAATCACCTACCATTTCAATAGTACTTGAAAAAACAAATAAAACTTTTGTTATTATAATACCACTACAACATAGAAAAAAAAACATGGATATATGTATTAAAGAATTAAAAGAAGTTGAACATACATCAATAGATGACCAAGCAACATTTCGTTGAATAGCATTCCCCACTGTTTTGACTCCTTGATGAGGTCTTGCCAAACATGCATTACTCTCAAATGCCTTTTCAATAAATACTTTCCAAAAATTTGATCCCAAGCGTATTCCATTCACTTCGGCCAATGGGTCTATACTAACAAAAATACCCTCTGCTAATATGCACCTTAGAATTTTGGAACTTAACAAACATACGTTAGTTCCAACCTACAACAATATGCACAATGCCATCATAACAATAATCGTTATTTAAAATTTTTAATGCATGGTTATTCATATCAATTGAAAGATGTCATATGGTATACAAAATAAATATACTTGTAGACTGACTTCTTCAAGAACCTCTTTTCCTTTGTTATTTTAGCAGTGTGCATCTGTATAACATTTTCACAACATTAGATAAATCTTTCACTAGCGAGAAATTGTGAAATGCATTGGAAAGAATGATACAACAAACATCATATAAGGTGCATTCATAATTGCTCACAAACTCGGTTATTTCAATTCCAAAAAAAAAAAAAACAACAACATAGCCCTTTTACCCAAAGTTGAAACTTTCCATACCTTTCATCCATTAAGGAAGCCATTTACTACACATTCAAAGCTAAAATTATTATTCATATCTTTAATAATACACTCAAACCTAACAAATTAATCAAATGTCAAATACAAAAAATTCAAATACATTTCACCTCATCAGAAGGCAAGGGAGATGGAGATGGTATGGATGACTTCTCAATTGACCGTGGCGGTATTTCTTCATCCAACTCCCTCAACAACTGATGTGCACTAGACGTGTCTAGAGCCTATAAGACATGTTATATCACATATTAAAATCCTACATATATAGAGTTTAAAGTTGATCAAACAAAAATATAACATTTCTTATACACCACCTGATTGGCATTAACCCTAGATCCACCTACACTATCGGCTTGTGATTCCAACAAACAAATCCTTGCATGAATCTTGTCAAATTCAGCTTTAATTTGCGGCTCTAATTTTTCACACAAAAAATGAAATTTTCTCAATGAAAGTAGGATTTGGTGCATCGGATGAGCTTGTGTCTTTTTGGTACACTAAAATTTGAGGCACACCAGTGCTGTAGGTCTTGCAGTATCCATGTCTATCTTCTCCCAACAACTTGTGGAAAATTTGATCTCGAAGAGGTGGTGTACGGTCTGACTCATCATATTGAGAAAGTTGCACATCAAATTCAGCCTATAATTTGAGATAGTCAATAATTATATATTTAAAACCTTTAAAAAATTATTAAAAACTCAAAAAATAAAGTATAAGAATGTGATACAATGACTTGCACCACGTCATGGTCACATGGAACACCATCTTAGTTCGTGATTTAATATATATGCTCATTTTATCAGTAGGCTCTTCGTTTTGTTCCACATGCAAACCTCAACAAATATCAAAATTCGGGTTTATCATCAAACGTAAACACAACAATACATATCAAAATATATTAATTTTGATAATCACTTACCTCTCTACGTAACTTGTCGAAGTGTGTTCGCCCACACCTATGAACCGAGCCTTGTAATTCTCTATTCTTTGAATTTCAATATGCTATTTCTTATAACAATAATTAAACATTATTCAAAGTCATTATTCCACATATAGGCAATGATATAAATTCATTCTCGTACCTTAGCTACATCACTCGCCCAATACTGTACTAACTCTGCCTATTGCTCTGGTACAATATCAATTGGAACTAATGATCTAAGATTCTCATCATTCTTGTGGGGTTCATAGAAATTTATCTTCACTCAATATTTGTGATCTCTCCAATTTTTACCACATGCCTTCAAGCAAATTGGTTTATGACCAGGAGGAGCATATGTCAAGTTATCCTAAAATTATGTGCCAAGAAATTAGCATATAATTGAGGTCATCATTCCTTTTTTTTTTTTTGAAAAATAAAATTTTGATGAATTAAATTTATACCTCCACTTCTTTCCAAATTGTATCAAGTATATCAACAGGTATTGAAGCCCAATCGATATAAGTGAAAGGAACTCTATGCTCATTGCGTACTATATTTTCCAACGCTGACTTTAGCCATTTTTCATTCTTACCTATTGGCTGAAACTTGGAATCAAACTCAACCTTAAGTTTCACTCCAGTTCCCCATTCCATAGGACCCTTAGCTGGACCTCGACCTCGCTTAGTTGAAACTGTGTCACTTATGCCTATTCCAAATAAAGATCATCAATTGCTAAAAGGTCACAAATGTATAATGTAATAATATTAAAATATTAAACTATAGTATACATATACCTGACTGTCTAAGTGATGATGGCTGGGAAGACTGTACGCGTGACAATGACCTAGAAGATAGCGTCTGTGGTGATGGTTGTGAATGCTTATGCATAGTGTTAGATGATGTATGCACATGCAATATATCAGGCATAGTACTTCATTTTCTCTTTGACATATCTGTAAACAAGACATGCACATATTAATATCATTCTTTGAAAATTAATAGTTAAAAAAAGATCTTTCAAAAATACCTCTTATTTCTTCAAAATAATATGAAACAAATGCCTATATATGCGTATCAAAGAACATCAACCATTATCACACTCATCCATTTGAATATCCCCTAGAACAACTTTATTTAAGGTGCATTTTGTTCCATCTGCTTCCTACCTTACCCAACCCGCATCATCACTATGGAGCATTACATTTTAATCCAATTCTTGATGGTTATAAGGTTTTGATTGAGCTTCATTAAATTTCATATCAAACAAATCTCTTTGAGATATCTTCACATCAACATGCCAATTGTCTAAAGGGTCTTCAACATACCAAACTTGTTCGGCTTGGGATGCTAAGATGAAAGGTTCATTTGTCAACCGATCATCTCGATACAATAAATGCTTGAAGTTTACTAACGTAAAATTAAAGTCATCTTCCTTCTTCCCTACATTGTTATCAATCCAATCACACTTAAAGAGCACATATTTCAAATCATTTTTGTACCGAATTTCGATAATGTCGCTTAAGACTCCATAGTATGATACAACACCCATACAAGGGTTGTTGTTTTTTTGACTAGCATAACTGACAGTATCCGCCTTTAAGGTCACACCCCTATTTTAAGTACTTCAATGATTATCCATGTCCTTAAACCAAAACCGAAACCCATTGATAATATATGCTTTATATCTCCATGCTGAGTAATGTTGACCATTTGTCAATATATTGATTTCATCTGAGAAATTATCATTACTTGATCTTCGCATAGTTTGCACCTGTACTTGTGTTACACAATTATTTAAAATTAAAGGGCAAGAAAAATATAAAGTTAAAAAACATAAATTTTATGTATTATTATATATATAATTATACATAAATGTTTCATAAACCATGTGTGAAACATTTCCATGTGTTTGCGCCGAATTTGGTGGTCATCCGGACGAGGCATTTGGCTTCAAAGGAGTTCAAGGTGGTCACTATATAGTTCAATAGTTATGTGTAAATTGCATAAATGGTTTAAAAACTTTAGCTCAAGAATTTGGGTGATATATAACTTACTTTATGAATGGTGCAACTGAGTCGGTATTGAATAGAACATACTGATGAGTCTGTGTCCATGTTACATTATCAAGGTGAATTTGAAGGCTCTCCCCCACATTATGACCTAAAGCTTCACCACCATCATAGTTCCTCAGTGGTCAGTTAGACTTGGTTTCCACATCATCAAGATATCTTGCACAGAAACTCATGCATTCTTCCATCAAGTAACCTTTAGCTGTTGAGCCCTCGGGATGAGTGGGATTACACACATATTGTTTCAGAGTAAGAAAATACCTAGACGGACAATTATAAGTACACTCTAATTGAAATTTAATATCAAAACTAAAATGACATAAAGTTTGATAGACCCTTTACATAAAGAAGTAACACATACCTTTCAATGGGATACATCCATCGAAACTGTATTGCTCCAGCAATCAATGCTTCTTCAGCTAAATGTATAGGTAAATGCTCCATTATATCAAAGAAGGATGGTGGAAAGATTTTCTCAAGATGAAAAAGTGTAAGCACGATACGGTCCTGAACATATTCCAAATCTGAAGCACAGTTCACTTTCAAGCATAATTTGTTCAAGAAATTACACAATTCAATTATAGGTTGAACCACATTCTTAGGCAATGATTTGCGTATAGCCAGAGGAATAAATTGTTGCATCAAAATATGATTGTCACGACTCTTCAGGGAACCATCGACGGTGACCTATATAAAAATACTTTCTACAATACTTCAACCAATAAGACCGAGGTTTTGTATTATAAGATGGACATGCATATTTACCCTTTGTACTCCACCTTGACAAGTTGGCATATGCAGGGAAATCACTAACTGTCCATAACAATGTTGCATGCATTTGAAACATTTGATTGCTTGATGCATCAAACGTATGAAAACGATCTTCCCATAGTTCCTTCAACTCCTCAATTAATGGTTGCAAATATACATCAATCTTGTTGCCAGGTCCTTTTGGCCCTTCAATAAGCATAAATAGAATAAGAAATGGTTGTTTCATGCACAACTATGGTGGTAATTTGTATAGAATCAATATGACGGGCCAAGTGCTATGAACAATATTCATGGACCTAAACAGATTAAATCCATTAGTTGCTAACCCAAGTATGACATTCCTACTGTCACTAGCAAACATTGGGGTTTTTCAAATTGAAAGTTTTTCATGCCAAAGAATCAATAGGATGCCTTAATACACCGTCATCGGTTCATCCCTCAACATGCCATCTCATGGGTGAAAAGGTTTTTGATGACATAAACAGTCTTTATAGTCTTGGCTTCAAAGGAAAATATCTCATATGTTTTGCTACTATTCGTTTACCTTTGGTGGTGTCGATACTTGGATTACCTTCTTGATGTTTACATCTTGAAGAGTTACATATATCACACTTATCACGTCCGTCATCCTCATTTCTGAACAACATAAAACTGTTAGGGCATGCATTCCACGTCTTATATGTAAAGCCCAAGTCATCAGTTACCTTTCTGACTTCATAGTATGAATTAGGAGGTTTTGCTCCCTTAGGCAAAAACTCAAACAAAAACTAAAGCAACATCACAGCAGACTTATCTGTCCATCCATTAAGCACTTTCATATGTAGAAGTTGAACGATAAATGACAATGTCGCAAACTTTTTACATCCCGAATACAATTCACTTTCTGCTTCCTCTAGAAGTTTAAAATACTTTCTTGTTTCTTCATTAGCCCCTGACTGGAGACTATTTGTAGGTGGTTCATCATAATCAGCATTTTCACCTACATTTGCAATTCCTATCGCCTCATGTATCATTTCGACCATATTGTCCCCGACATCTAAATCAACATAACTTTCATTTTCCTGGTTACCATACAAAGACATGTAGGGTTCCCCATGATCAATCCAATTCTTATACTTCTTTAAGAAGCCATGGTTACCCAAATGGTTATGCACAATCTCTTGTGCAAAAAAGAAGCGATTTGCACATTTTTTACAAGGGCAATTGATTGTTGAACCTTCTGCCTTATTACTATGCGCAAAATTGAGGAATTGATCAACCCCATTCATGTATTCTATTGAAACTCTATCTGGTAAAACAATCCAACTCTTGTCCATATTTTAACTAACCTCAATTGAAGAACAAAACTTTAGCTTATGAGAACCATTATTCATGTAAATACCCACGAAAATAAAAAAAAAATTAAAAAAAGTTGAGGAAGATCATCACAACGTAAATAATCATGGAATGCATTGTGTGAAACACACCATTTAACATATTTTTCCACAAAATTTTATAAACTTGAATCATATGGATACCCATATGAATCACATCCTCCGGATAACACACTAACAGAATGGAAACACAGCTTAGAAAACATTTTTTTCTCTAAATAAATCAAAATTTCACCTCTATTGGAAATTACAAAAAATGAAATAAATAAAAATGTTCATCTTTCTTTTTCTTTTTCCTTTTTCCGCTTACTTTACTTTATTTTTGGCAAAACTTATGAATGTCATCATACATAACAAGGGCATCACGAATTCTCTAAACATAAGAACTTTCAATTTCTAAATAAAGTAAAGGCACAAGTTATTTTTAAATAATTTCAGGTTTTGGAAGAAACAATGAGAGTTCTATGACCACCATTGATTTTCAGATTCTAAAACCCTATCGGTTAGATTAAAGCTCTTTAAATATGATTTTTTTTTGTGTAAGATTAAGAAGCTACCGAGAGATTTTACTCTTTTATCTGATTTGATATCTTTATATTGGTATAAAACTGCTTCCATTGATAGTGAATGATGCTGAATTTTTATTCTTACATCAATTTAATACGATTCATATGAATCTAGTTTGAAAAAAAAAAAGATCAAATCAACAACCACATATATTCACAAAAAGCAACAAAGAAAACCCTGAGCATCAAGCAGAGAAATGAATAGAGGAACCGCAAAAAAAAAAAAAACCTCAAATCTAAAGTATGTCATAGAATTGTGTTAGGTAATTACTTAATAATCAACTTAAAATCATCTAAAACCAGCCCTAGGATTTGATGAAATAGAGCAGAGAACAAAGCAAGAAATAGAGGTAAGTAAATTTAGAGAAGAGAAGATATTTTGTTTCTTGCGTACCTGAGAGATCAACTTTTTCAATTGAATCAATTGAAATAGACCAAAATTTATACAATATCAATTATCAACTAACTCCTCCTAAATTGCAAAGAGAGAGAGATGTACTTACTGGGTCAAGTGAACGAATAAAATCACAATGTAGAACCCACGTCTTAGTTAGTAAAGTAAATCTTCAACGATGGTGGTCTTCAACGATGATTGAGTGCTTGAGGATGGAGGAGTTTCAGTCGTCCAGTGCTCAGAGAGATGCGGAGGTGCTGACCTGGTTGCAACAGACGTGGTTGTTATAATTTTGGAAAAATTTCAACCACGTCCCCTCTAATTTACCATACCTTCAAATACAATCTCTCTATTTTCTGAATCTTCACTAACACCCCGTTAGATTAAAAAAAATTAACTAGAATGTAATTTTACTAAATTTCCCATAATATATTTGAGGACGAACTTCATCCACACCTCCTCTAAATAAGCATATCTTTAAGAGACCCCCTATATTTTCTATTTTTTTCCATATTAAAGTTTGGGCTGATTAAACTTCGATTCAAACTAATTAATTGTTTTTTACATATTAAAATTGAGTCGATTAAAAATTATTTTTTTTATGTATTACAATTTGGGTTGCTTAACATTATATTCGAGACAATTAAAAATCATTTGTAATTGACTCAAATCAAATTCTAATTAACTCATATTGAATTTTATTTGGCCCAAATTTTAATTGACTCAAATTTGAAATGAATCGAATTTTAATTGA